TATATATATATATATATATGACTTAAACTCAATCACTAATCAAATTGAAATAATTATCTGTCAATTGATTCATGTAATTGGTAGTAATATCATTATATTTAATAGAGAATACTGAATATTATTTTATTTAATATGTATCTTTAGACACCATGATACCAAAACTATAAAAAATAAAAAATAAAAATAGCGTGGTGAAAGATTTGGGACACACAAGAAAAAAAGAAAGAAGATGGGGGACTTTGCAATGAAATTGAAGGAAATGTGTGAAGAATTTTATCTGTATATGTAACATCACTGTGTCTGTAGTGCTACTTACAACAACTGTTACAGTATTGAATTACTACTAAGTACTAAGCAATGAAAGGAGTTCCATAACATAGAAAGGACTTCAATCATGTGATGCCAACTTTCCCATTTTCTTTCTCAACATTCTATGGCTATCCTTGCATCAAAGACTAGACAAAACCATGAAATGCCATAATTATTTGAAATATTGGTGGTGAAAAATTAGGATAGTGTGCGTAATATCTTAAGTTAGAATCTTATATCATTGTAATATTTTTTTATGGTAACAAAATTATTTGAAATAATAATCTTCACACAAGTAAACAACTTATACAAACAATTCCATAATTTACATGGACAAAAGAAACATTCACACACATAGAACCTACAAAACAATACACTTATTCACCAACTACAAAGTTTCATAGCTATCTTGGCACCACAATTTATACAGTTCTCTCAACAACCTTGCATGTCAAGATGGGATACTAATTAAAGTAAAAAAGGATGAACTAGATATTAGTGGTAATGGCTTTGATTTATACTATAATTTGCACTTGTTTTAAGCGTAAATTCACTTTGGTCATTATTTTCAAAATCCATATCTTTAAGCAAAGGATGCATTTCAGGCACTACTTTATGTGGCTTTAAAGGCATTGAATTGTAAGAAGCAATATTGTGGCTGCTGTTTCTAGTGGCAGGCACATCATGATTATGCTTTCCCTCGTAGGTTCTTACCAATCCATTGAAGCTCTCTCAACATGATTTCTCATATTACATCATGCACTTTAAAGAAATTGAGCATAGGACAAATTAAAACATTATTTGAAGGCAAAATAGTTAATGGAAAGGTTCAAACTAAACTGCTTATTGAGAAAGGGGTGGATTCTTATGTACAAAAAATGATAAATTAATAGGGAGGAGATGATATGATAAACTAGAAAGTGCTTACAATTCGGAATAAGTAATCAAAGCAAGGTATAATACAACGAGCAAGTGCTTCATGGAAGTTATAAACAATCTCAAATAAGAGTGTAATTAAGTAATTAACAATGTCATAAAAGAGAGGAAACACACTGAATTTACGTGATTCAGCTGATGTAACCTACATCCATAAGCAATCAAGAGATTTTACTATTTTTTACACTAAGAGAGAACATAACTCCATTCCACTTTCAAAACCTAGCTCCATTCCACCTTCAAAATGAGAGAAAAGAAAACAATTAGAGTCAATTTCTAAAATAGTTACCATTAGTATGTTTTCAATTTTTAGAAATATTATTGATCTAGGGTTGGTTTGTTTGATTTCCTTCTCCCTTTCTGGTTTTAACTTTTTACAATTATTTTTTTTAAAACAATGTCATACTATTTAGCAGTCAATTTCTCATCCAAAATCTATTAAGCTATAAAATTTATTTTTAGACCAAGTGTTTCAAAACCAATTAAAAAAAAAAAAAAACTGATAGATGTTTTCCTTTTCCGTCTTGTTGAAGTAGGGAATTCATCTGTGATTCTGGCCACTCTTGTAGGCATGCCCTGAAGGTTCTGTTGAAAGTTCCTTCCAGGTAGTGCACACAGGGTTGTTTCTGTTGTAAATGTTTTGGAAACAATTTTTAACTTAATTTGAGAACAAATGTATCAAACAAGTTCTTTTATGTGACTAATCAGGTTCTCCAATAGACATTAGCTTTCCACTAAGATGGTGGATACTTCACATCTAAAACATGGTGATAAAAAAAACAAGTTCTTTTAATTTTTTTAGCTTTTGAGATTCTAAACAGTTCTTGAAAATAGAAATCAGACACAGCCTTAATTTGTTACCTTCTGTCTTCGTTTCAGAAAATAAAAATTCTAAAAACACGATTGATGTATCCATTTTCAATAAATTAAAAAAGAGAACAAGTCCTTTCAACATTAATAACAGCAGAATTCACCATATTTATTTTCGTAGTATGAAGATAGTGCACACAAGTAAAAACTTGGCTATACACTCACACATCACAATGACAAAAACAAGAGAAACAAGATCTGATTTACCTGGGAATATATACCATATATGAAGAAAACCCCAAGGAATTGTGATATGACGATAGAAACATCCTGAGTTATTAAATTCAATAGGTTGTATTCCATTTCTTTTTTCATCATAAAAATGTAGGTATAGAGTGAAGCAGCAAACACAAAGGAGCTTACCTGAGAGAGGTGGCTTGTAGCAGAAGAGGATTTAGTGGATGAATTGTATGGAAGTGATTGGTGTGGATCCTGTGACTATAACAACAAAGGCAAATGATGATTGAAATCATAAAACTTGAATCTTTTAAGTGTGTTAAAATTTGACAATTAAGGCAAAGCAAAAATAAATGCGTTTCTAAAATCAGTAAAATAAAAAGTTGAAAATTACCAGCAAATATATAATGCAACTGATGCCAAAACCAACTAATGGCAGTTTGGAAAGTTAGAAAAATGACACTTAATAAACTTTGCAGTATGCATAAAGTTTAATAGCTTGAATTCAAATTACAAAAGCCTTCCAAAGGGAAGTATTTAGTTGAATTTTTACACCATGGAAGACAATAACACCAACAAGAAATCTTTTTCCTCTAAGCAAGATCGGCTACATGAATCACACAATACTATTGATCTCGGTTAAAGACTAAATTCTTAGAGATATAGAACTTGTTTATATACAAGTTTAGAAAAGCTTTTGAAAGCTTTTCTACTGAAAATAAAAAGTGTTTTTTTAGAAAAAAAACTTTCAAAAGTCCTTCTAAACTTATATCCAAACAAACTCATAATTTGCTTCTACACCATGGAAGACAACAAGGAAAAATTCTTGGTTAGAAATGATGTACAATGTAGACTTTGCACAAGTTTACATGATCAATTCAAAACTGCAAAACAACATGAATTTTAAGTCAATTAAAACAGTTTTCCATTCTCAGAGAAAGGTGGTCTACCTGAAGTCACATAAAACCTGGAATGCTATAAAAAGTTTAGAAATGGGTTGTAAACAAAAGCAATAAAATCCTCATATCCACATATAGTTTCATAATCACGAAAAACCTTCGGCACACTAAAGCTTTAGTATGGAACTAGTACTTTTAACTCTTTCATGCACAATTCAGGCTGCCGCACAATGTATATTTGGTCGCCAACTGCATTTTCTTTATAATTATCTTGATTTCGGTGCCAAGTCCATAATGCATATGTCGAATTCACAACCTGCAATAAAATATATAGGATGGTAAAGTTTTTAAGGAAAGGATTAATATCATATTGAAGAGAATTCATGGACTGTATCCATGTCATGAACAAAAAAGAAAATTCAATGAAATATTATAGCCACACACAGAGAAAAGTTTCGTCCAAAATATAGCCAGATTTTTCGGTGTTTTAGTACCTTTGTGCACAACTTAGAAATAAATTTGTGTGTATATCTAGTTACCTACAGATGTCATTGTGTAGTAAATTATTAAAACAATAGCTGAAACTCAACTATTTTGAAGGTAATAAGAAGATTCAACTCTCTGAAGGATAATGTTATTTAGCACATCTTCATATTATTTGTGGAATCAATTAAAGCAATCTCTGGACATATTTGTATAAACTTCTTCATAAACACTTATAAAAGAAAGAAATTAAAAGGAAAGATAAAATAAGCTCCTTTATAAGCTAAAATTTACTTCTGCATAACTTAATAATGAGTTTTTGGAGAAGCTAATATGAGAGAGCTTTTACAAATTAGCTTATGGAGAAACTTATTGTATTTTTCCTACCTATTTTTCTCTTTTAAAAGTGTTTCTAAAGGAGTTTATCCAAACAAACCCATTATACAAGAGTAACAGTATTATTCACATTACAGTGGAAAGGCAACACCACCAAGAACAAATCAATTAGTGATTGAGCTATCTGAACTTGTAGGCTGGTTACATAGCAATAGAAAAAAATAAAAAGGTTCATAATCTGAAGATTTTACCTCGAGTATACCATGTCCAAAACTGCTTTCTCTAAATGCACTCCACTCTGGTTGTTTGTTCCAACAAAAGTTGCCTTTGGCAGGACCAGAGGTAAAATTCAAATGGCAAACTCCTCCAAATTCTGGTACGTTATCTCCAGCAGAAGGACACTGTCCAGGGTCATCTGCATGATCAACATCTACTTTCTCAATATTTCCACCATCTCCAACAATTATGTAAACAGGTCCACAAGGATCCAATGTGTAATTATAAACTCTATTCATCCGCTCATAAGCATGAACCTGCAAGATGGACAACACGTTACACTGTTTATGTAAATAATAGGGAAAAAATTACATCTAAAATAAGCTTAATTTAAGACAACATATCTGCGGATAATTCTATCCGAAAGAATATATTCAACTGGAAATAACTCTCACCACAAAATGTATTGCATATTCAACACTTTTAGGTGCAGAAAATGATATAAGTATCAAAGCAATAGTGCAGATCTAAATTTTTAGCAGCAGG